TATGAAAAGAAATATATAAGACATATATTGTTTTAAAGTTTAAACATATTGGATTTTTTTTTCTTTTCTTGCGGATTACAAGTAACTATGGTATATTGTCATGATATTTAGGTGCAAGGGCTAAAAATTCTCGCAGAAAGTGCTTTCATTTTCGGAGTACTAGAAGTCGTGACCGAGGAGAGGAAAGAACGAAACCTACTGTAATCTGGCGTTGCCGTGGGTATTCTTCCTTTCTTGATAAGGAAGAAAGGCGAAAAAATAAAAGCAAGGAGGTCGTTAACTGAAGAGAAAATTAGTTTTGTTATGTGTACTTATCAAATGATTAGAGATAATAATGATAAGAGAATTCGAATACATTTTCTTTCTAATTGAGAAATTCTTCTGACGAAAAATATCTTGCGAAGAATAAGTTACTGAAGTATCATTCGCAGAATATTTATATTTTATCTCTATATATCAGAGAATATACTTTATTGCGTGACTTAAATAATAAGAAATATACTAAATAAGAATCACTATCTATCTTGTAAGTATTCTTTTCAAATGAAAATAGTCGTTTAATATTCTATAACTTAACATAACAGTTAATCGATTGGTAGTTAGACATATTATTTAAAAATAAACACATTAAGTAACTGATTGTAAGCAAAAATATAATTATTCAAAAATCTAAATACTTTTCGTATTGCTAAACTCAAGTGACGCATATCGAATCAAGAAAAGTAAACGATTATTGTTTTCCATGAATAATAGAATGTATTTGAAAAAAAGAAAACAATTTTTAGAAAGTTGCTATAATCAATTTGTTAACTCGAAACATATAATTTGTTTTTATAAATTCTCTAATCAAGGTTTTTGATAATATGAAACAAACAAAATATGATTTGTACATCTTTTAATTTCGACATATATTCACTTGCTCGTTCATTATAAGTTTTCCAATGGTATTCTTATCTTGAATTATTCCATAGTAAACTCATAGACTGTAAAATATATCTTTGAATATTAAAGAATAAATTATATACTGAATGAAAACTCGTTGAAAATAAAATTTATAAGTCTAATTGATAATCTATGGAATAATTATAGATTTTATTCTAGTTGAGATCTCACTCTTGTCTACATGAAAACACATTTTTACGTATCCTGTATACATTAAAATGGGTCGAGACTAGATGTTAAGATTCTAGTTTGATAAAATGAGTTTCTTGTTTTTTTTTTCATTTCGCAATGAATTAATTTTCAAAATAAAGTTAACTGCACGTAGCATTTTCCTTGAAAAATAGAATTTTTATTTTTCTGATTCAATTTTTTCTTTGCTTTTTATTTTGTTACACTGGAAACTGGACAAAGCTGAAAAACTTAACATTGATTAAAATTTTTTTCGTATTTACAAAAAGGAAAACCGAGAACTTTATTCTCATATAGATAAAAAAAATGAATATATATTACTTATTATTGTTGTTCTTTTTTTTCTCATATCCAACGGATATTTATTTTTCTCTATCTGCAACATAGGAAAGTTTCAGTAATTTTACTAGTATTTTTTCAACAAGAATGTAAATGAATTATAATAGCATCTATACAAAATAATTACAATGTAGAAATGAAAAAAAAAACATCAATGACCTATGTATTTGTTTGGATTTACTGGAATTCCAATCTATACCATTATTATAAATAGATTGTTATATACATTCTGATAATGCTGATTCATTCATTTATGATTGAGGTATTTACTGGATTTTGTGGAACTCACATATGTTTTCGAAGAAAATAGTGAATGTAAGTTTGAAGTTCAAGGTGTGGTGGCTCCTCCTCTCCTTCCTCCATTACAGACATACCCCCCATTATAGACAGGCCCTCCGTTACAGACCTTAGTAATTAAGAATAATAGGCGTCAGATTTTCTAGCTTTTTTCGAAAAATTGATCAAGTTATGATTTTGAAAGATAATCAATATTATTGTTTATGAGTTGATTAACATATATAATACTACATAAGATCTTCTGTAGATATTATGGATATTTAAAATAGATTTATTTGCCAATTAATTCAATGATTATAATAATAAGAATGTTGAATTACGAAAAATGATTTCAAAGACAAAAACTGAAAGATAATGAGCGAATAGCAACAATGGAAAATAAAAATAGGGTACTCTCAAACAAAAAAAAAATTTCTGTTTTAAATGTAGAAATAAATAAAAAAGTCTCGTTCTTATCATTGATTATCAATGAAAACGAATACAATGTAAACGAAATTTTTCAGTTTACATATGATGCATTAGAATATTAAGGTTTATGGATATATATGAGTTCCACATTTTAGTTCCAAAGGAGCTGTGCTAACAAGCTTCTTCAATTGAGAATGCAACCATTCCTATTTTTTATTCAATTGAATTAGTTTTGAAAAGTAAATATATTGAATACAATCAATCAAATAATAATTTAAAATTAAGTTTATAATTTTTACTAATTGGATTTAATCAATTGGTACAATGTAAATCTACATTTTTTTGTTCTTTTCACTTCAAATAAACGACTAGCTACAAACATAAAAAAACTATCAAATCATATCTTCTTGTGACACATTTCAACATAAATCAATCAATAAAAAAACGTGATACAGAATAGAAGAGAAGATCGAAAGAAGAAAAACAAAAAAAAAAAATTCGAACAACAAACGGGTGCAAATAAATAAGAAATCTGAGTAACAACACGATTCTTACATATAGATAATAACATACTGATAAAGGATGGAAAAAAAAAACACATGGTGCTAAAAAATGGAAAGAAAAATAACAGCATATGTATATAAACGTAAAAGACTTTATAGAGGTTGAGACGACATTTATGATAGTTATCTATATGTATTTATGGAACAACACAAGTCCTCAATAAAATGTGATTCATCCATATACAGCATGATCAGGCGAATCAATTTATTAATTAATAAATTAATGCAAAAAAACCAATCTCTCCTTCCTTGAAGATTTCAGATTATTGCTTGTCAAAATATTTCAATCTTCCTTCTTTCGAAATGATATATTGATAATAAATATAAACTCATTTTTTTCGTAAGGTATGAGATTTATGAAATGATATTGAATATTATCAAAATAAATTCTTAATAGACTTCATTAAGTAATTTTCTCTTGCTTTATTGTTTTTTGTTTTTTTGAATAATTTTTACATGTAAATATCGTGAAATATCACGTACATAACAACGAATCTACGTCGTATATTATTTGGACAATTACGCACATTTTTTTTTCTCTCTTATCATAAGAACAAAAAGAAAAAAAAAGAAACGAGATAGAAACAAGGCAAACGACATATGATTCAGGATATATTGATCATATCTACTCGACATGATATAATGTAATTTCGTGGTTACATATTCAAAGAGAGGCTTGGTTGTTTATGCGTAGTAATATTTAGGCGTGTCATACGGTTATTAACAAGCAATAGATTTCAATTATTGTAAGTTATCTTTAAAATAATTTTAAATTATATTAAATTTGAGTTTATTTTGAAATTGAAATCATTTGTAATTTTTTGTATTTATTATATTTAAATTAAATTGAATTATTCTATTTCTTCATAATATATTATAGCATAAATATCTTGTAATTTTAACATTATCTCTATCTATAAATAATGTATAATATGTTCTTTCAATTCTATCAACACATGGCCTGACCTATTGGAATATTTCATCCTTCATTAAAATGAATTTTTCAAAAAAAGTTATAATTCGACTTATACAATAGATAGAATCTCTTAACTTTCATTTTATAGTTTATAATATTTTTTCTTTTACGAAATAAGGACTTTTAAGGAACTCATGGTCTATTTTCTTTATCGAATGTGAACAGAAATCGTGGGTGAGAAAGTATTCATTATGTACCCACAACTTGTTTTTTTATTAGTTGACAACAAGTCAATTTTTCACAGGTGAAAAATTTCTCAAGCATCATGAAAAACATTTGTTATCTTTCTTTCATTTGAAACTGATATAATAATCGTTAAAAATAAGTACATTAATCAGAAATATAATATTGATTTAAAAAATTATTCGAGTAATAAGAGAGATCTGAAGAAATTTCTAGAAGTTCTAAAATTTACTTTTTACAATATAATCTATCAGAACCGATATTACATTCGATGAAAAATGAAATTCGTTCGATGTAGAACTTACAATAGCCTTGGTGACATGTGGTTATTTTTCCATGAAAGTAGACTAATTACTGCCCCAATGGAATATTATGTTTTTAAGTAGTATTTTCTTTTGCACTGTCACAGAAAACATAATTAAGACAAATACATGAGTGACATTTTCTCATTTATCATGGCATTTTGTACTTTCTTTTACATGAAATTATTTTCAACTTCTGATTCGATATCCAGGGTATGGCTTCTATAGAACTGAAAAACGAGAATCCAATGAAAAGTCTTTTCAGTTGGACGGTATTTAGCCTACTTTGATAGGAAAATAACTATATATCGCAAAGGCTATTATAGATATTACTATAAGATGTCATGAAGACATAGAATCCTTGAATTTAATTTAAATTTAAAAATAAATTAAACTTACAATAATTTTAATCTAAATTATGAAGCAAAATAATTTAAATTTATTTTAAATTTAAATTAATGATAATTTAATTTACGCATATTATTAATTGGGATGTAAATATAAATTAGCACTGCTAGCAGTGTTTTATATTATAGAGAGAGAGAGAGAGAAGAAAAGTTACTATTTGTCCTTTATAGTAGCTTTGAAAGAGATCAACGATGATTTTCAAATAATTTGAATAAATTCGATATGAAAGAAATGTCCGTCCAGTTGAATATATCGAGTGACAAAGTTCAAATATTTTTTCTCTTAAATTACGACTTTTTTTTTCTTGTCTTCCTTCGCTATCCTTCAGTACATGTGATGTCATTTTATTTGCTTTTTTGTTTTCATTCTTTTGAGGACATTCATATGTAAATAATGTCAAATAGTGGTAATACAAACGATCAAAGTAACTTTATGCGAGCTGTTGAAGAAGCATTTTTTATGCTTGATCGTGATCAAGATCGATCTGTTGGTATAGATGACTTTTGTGCTATTGCTAAATCTGTTGGTATAAACTTAGATTCTGATGAAGCATTATTACTTCTTCGTACAGCTCTACAGGAACAAACAGATGATCCTACATGTGACGAAAAATTAACAGTCAATCAATATTCAACATTAATGCTTCGTCATGTTGGTTCATCAGAATTAAATGATGAATTACGTCGAACATTTGATGCTTTAGATCGAGATCATGATGGAAAAATTTCTCGACAAGATATGGATGAACTTCGTAATGAAAACAATTTTTTTGATAAACTTGATAATGATCAATATGAATTGGTTGTTCAAGAATTATTAATTGATGGAAATAATGGAATGAATTTTGATCAATTTGTTCAATTGATGATGCGATCATAATGTAAAACATATTTCGTTGATACTAAATAAAAAATATTCTTTTTTTTTTTTTTTTTTTAAATAAAATTTCTTTGACAATTTCTTATTACGATAGATTTCTCGTGACATTAGCAAGTTCTGAAATAGTCTAACTCAATTCGATATTTGGGTCCGACGACAAACTACCCTGTCAATTCAGATACTAGTTATAAAGAAAATTGTCGGTATCCAACAGCTATGCACACATCCGAATAATCAATGATAGTTCTCAGTGTTTCAAACTGTTACTTATTTGTAGATATTGAAGTAAAATAAATAGTTCGATTATATATCTTAATCCAGAGTTGAAACCGATAACAATAAATGATCGATCCAATCCAGTAGAGATTTCTCACCAGCTGGTAGAGACAATTTCTTCTTCATCCTTCGCTCTGGATTTTTGTTTGTAGTTTTTTGTATGTTTTTTTTCCGAGAAATTGAACATAAAAGTGGTTTTTTTCCTAAACCAAAAACTTTTTACTAATGTTGAAGACTACATCTTTGGTGTGAGGTCATGTTATTAAAACATAAAATTAATATAGAATTTATTGTTCTATAAAGTTTTCTTTCTATCAATAGATGCCACGAAAGAGAAAACACATAAAAATAAATAATGAAAAGCACTATAGTCGTGAAACAGTGCTCTTTTGCCATTACTGTAGTGATTGGGAAGAAGATATGACTATTATAGAGTCAGAAAAAAGAAGAATGACTCATATGTCCTATAGGCTCCTGTAGGATCTCAGATTTCAGAAAAATCGTATTTTCGAATTTTGATCTGAAACTTTGTGCACATAGAGATCTCAACTAGACTAGCTTCCATAAATTAGTTTAAAAGTTTTCAACAAATCCATGTTGTATAACTACTTATGGACAAGGACTTATACCTTGAAAGCTTCATATCTGGAAGAGACTTTGTTGAAAACTTCTAAATTTTTTTAAGGAAGCTAGTCTAGTTGAGATCTCTATACGCACAAAGTTTCAGATCAAAATTCGAAAATATGATTTTTCTGAAACCTTGGGTCCTACAGGAGCCTATAGTTCATAGACATAACATTCTTCAAGTTTTTATCCATAAACGGGACGAGATCTAAAGAAATCGACATTGGAGCAGTTCTATACTCATGAAGTACTTGCATTTTATACCATTTCCACTATGGAGAAAAATTCATGATTTTTCGACTATTCCCTTTACCAACATTAAATAGTAAAAATATCATTTGATTTTTCATCTTGTTCGAGTGAATATGTTCCATGTCCTTCTTTTAATGCCTTACAATATTCATGTTATGCTGTTTTCTTCTCTTTAATTTGAGTTTGAATCTTTCGATCATTATCCAAATTAGCTTCGAAACTGTAAATAGCAGTTTGTTCTTCAATAGGAAAACTATAAACTACTTCTATTGGATTTGATGTTTCTTCACTATTGATGAGTACTTGTTTGATGCAGACTTCAGCAGCAAATGAATGAATATTTACTTGCATGGAGACATTCTTTAATGAAACGAATCGATCGTTGGAATTTTGACGAGTTGAAGAAGCTACTTTCAACATGATGATCGCGATAATGAAACGAAAAATTTAGTGTTACATCTGCCTTATATAGGGTTGAACAAGAAAAAAATATTTTTAAAAGTACAGAACGCAAAAATGACTCATTAGGGGAAGTACAAAAACAAAATTATAGAACGCAGAACGAACAGTAAAAAAAAAGTGAAAATGCCCCCGGTGAGGCTCGAACTCACGACATCCGCATTGCTCCGATACTGTGTATAAGTACGGCGCTCTAGTCCAACTGAGCTACGGGGGCTATGGAGAAGTGAAGGCCGACGAGTACACATTAACAACTTTCGTAGATCATAAGTCTTTATATATTCAAATTTACATATTGATTTAGTAAATTTTCAAATTTATCAATAATAGAATTTTGAAAATATGAAAATATATCTTGTTTTCTTATGATTTCTATTATTAATTTATAATGATAAAAAATTCGATTAATTCTTGTCTTTTTTTTCTTTTATCTATGACTTAATTAACATAAATTTAAAGGAAATTAAAAAAAATGTCATATATATTTAATTAAATTTAGTTTTATTACATTTTATCATATCAAAACAAACAAAAAAAATGAAAATTTTAATACAATATTTTTCATTATTTTATTTATCAAACACACTTACATTACATTAGTTCAAAGATATGATAATCATATGAAAATCTTCGGATTCAATTTTAATCGATATTCAAAAGTATTTATCTCTATGTTTTAGACAAAACAAAACAAAAGATTAGGAATGTATGAAAAACAGTTCAAAACAGCTAAAAAACAACTTTTCGGCAGAAATTTTCAAATTCTTTTATTATTTACATTTCAGTCATTTTTTTTTATAAGGTTTACTGCTAATTTACCGGTAAAAAATATTATTTAAATGAGTTTGAGATGGAAGTATTGTTCGATATAGCTCTAGATTTTATTTTATCGTTGAGAAAATTGCGTTCTACTGTTACATTAAAATTGTGAAAAGATATGCATATACTTACTTAATTTTACCTTTTTGGTTTTT